TATTCAAACACAGTCAAATAAAATAGTAGGAAAATCGTCCCCATTCGATTTTGGGACTATTCTTGAACATTCCCCCTGTGGAGGGACAGGCCCGACTCGAAATCAGTGGTGCTTGGTTTTCTCGCCGCGGCCGAGATGGGACGCCCTAAGCGCTCGCGACCCTCGCCCCGTCCAGGGCCGGGGGGAGGGGGGGAGGAAGGGGGGTTTACCCATCGGTCGTTGAAAGTAAGTATTTTTGGATTCCCAGATTCCAAATTACTTTCAGCGCCTTCCTACTTCAAGAGTCGAGTGGTTTTCCCTCTTCCCTCCTCTCCAGGCGGCAGGCGGAAACCCAATCTATTTCCAACACCTTCCTACTTCATGTTTCTACCTATTTCTTCCGACCGAGGGGTACACTTCAGCCGGGCCTGTCTCTCTTCAGGAGGGGAAAAAACACAGACACAATGAATCGTCGATTCCTCAGAAAATTCGGGAACATTATGGGAGGTGGGGAGGAAGACAAGAACCCAGAACATAGGGGAAAATATAGGGAATCCTTTTATTTGTGTGTATTTATTTGTGTGTCCCAGGGCCCCTTTCATCTCTACAGGAGGAAAATCAAAACATCAAAAACATCGTCTGGGGAACATAGTCTGGGGACGATTTCAGAACACTTCTGGATTCTACTTGAGTGTGTTTTTTGTCCCAAATCGGCCTGTAGGGGGGCATGCCCGACCGAAGTTTACAGTCGAAGCACTGTCACAAGGAACCCTGAGAGTAAGAAGCGAGGCCCCTTCTTCCATACGCTAAACTTCGATGTCCGATCGAGGACAGAAGGGACACCAGATAAAACATCTAAACTGAGCCCGGCGAAAGACACAACCATGACGCAGATGTGAGTACCGCAATTGTGGATATCGTCTTCGGTAGCGCTCCCTATGAGGCCACGAACCGTGTGAGGGGCGTGCTGGAGATGGGTGGCGCTGACGCATGGGAACGTCGCCTCTTGGGCCTTCGATGGGGCTCTCTGTGGGGGGCCACGAACCGTGGCAGGGGTGTGCCAAAATGGATGGCGCGAGCGCATGGGAAGGTCGACGCTGAGGCCTTAGGTGTAGCTCCCTATGGGGCCACGAACTGTGTGAGGGGTGTGCCGAAATGGTTGGCGCGGACGCATGGGAACGTCGCCACTGGGGCCTTCGGTGGAGCTCTCTTTTGGGCCACGAACCGTGTGAGGGGTGTGCCATCATAGGTGGCGCGGACGCATGAGAACGTCGCCACTGGGGTTTCAGGTGGATCTCTGTATGGGGCCACGAACCGTGTGAGGGGTGTGCCATCATGGGTGGCGCGGGCGCATGGGAACGTCGCCATTGGGGCCTTAGTTGGAGCTCCCTATGGGGCCACGAGCCGTGTGAGGGGCACGCCCAAATGGGTGCGCCGACGCTTGGGAACGTCGCCATCGGGGTCATGGGTGGAGCTCCCTATGTGGCCACGAACCGTGTGAGGGGTGTGCCATCATAGGTGGCGCGGACGCATGAGAACCTCGCCACTGGGGTTTCAGGTGGATCTCCGTATGGGGCCACGAACCGTGTGAGGGGTGTGCCATGATGGGTGGCGCGGGCGCATGGGAACGTCTCCATTGGGGCCTTTAGGTGGAGCTCCCTATGGGGCCACGAGCCGTGTGAGGGGTGTTCCATCATGGGTGGCGCGGACGCATGGGAACGCCATTGGGCCTCGGGTGGAGCACCCACTTGGGCCACTAGGCGTTCGAGGGTGTGCCAACATTGGTGATGATGACGGTCAGACGAGCATGATGGAGATGTGTGTGATGTTGATGAGGATGATGAGGATGAGGATGAGGATGAGGATGATGAGGGTGAGGATGATGAGGATGAGGAGGAGGATGAGGATAGGATGGTGATGTCGATGATGATGTTGATACTGGTGATGATTATGCTGATGATGATGTTACTGATGATGATGCTGCTGATGATGATGATGATGGTGGTGGGAGGAGGGGGAGGAGGAGGTGGGACGGGGGGCGCCGTCTCTTCAAATAGAGAACCCAACACCACAGGATGGTTGGGAATGATGATGGTTATGATAAAAGGTGATGGAGGAGGGAGGTGAGGAAGGAATGGGAGGAGGGAGGAGCGGGAGGAGGAGTGAGAACGCGGGGCGCTGTCCATTCAGAACGAGGACCCAACACCACAGGATGGTTGGGAACAATTAGTGAACACTGAGCTCCACCCCACCGAAAAGGGTTCCTTCTTCAGCGGACGATTGTATAAGACAAATAAGGGAGGATGGACTAGGAAACGCTTCAAACCACCTCCGCCCAGAGGGTTGGCGGAATTACATGGCAGTCACGATCGCCGAACGGCAGTCAGAATTTGCTTGACGCTCCGCGTATCCCAACCAGCCCATACAGCAACAATTGCCAGTGGAGTTGCTAGAATGATGGCGGTGTAGAAGCATGCAGTGGGCCGCCGTGGAAGTGTATAAGGGGCGCCGAAACGGTGGGAACATGTGCTGAATCATGAAACACATGTTCCCCTTCCGTCCGGCTTAATTGGTTTATTCTGCGATGTTGTTTGAGAGTTGTCTTGCATTTCTCTTTGGCTGAAAGGGTTCTCGGGTACGGAAAGGTCCGGTCCGATTTGGACAGGGATCGCCGTCGGCGTCGCCGTGGTCATCGTCCATTTTTGAGGCAAACTTGCCTGCCCAACAGCCGCCGCTGTCACGTAGGGCATCGTGCCCATTTCGGACGGGACTAGGACGAGGATAAATCCGTTCCACAGCGTTCCAGATCGCTCTGAGCAGGCCATCCAGCCTTGGCCTGGCAGCATGCGAACGGCTTGTGGCCCTGCTGCCGTGCTGATCGTGTGCGCAGGACGTCGGGAGGAGCGGGGCTTCGAGCCGTAGATGTAGTCAGCAGCGGTCGTGTCTCGGGCCCCCATGGCTGCTTCGGACCCCGTCGCCGCAAAGCGGAGCTGGGCGCCGCCAGGCCCCCCCGCAGACGCGCTGCGACCCCGCCCCCGACGGCACAGAGGTTATAACGGTCTTGGAATGTGCGTCTCGCCTGGGTTGTCTAGGTCCCGATGCGACTGATTTTGTTCGCCTCCCGGGTGTGTTTAGTTGTTCAGCAGGAGGAGGAGCAGGAGGAGGAGGAGGGGGAAAAGGAGGAGGGGGGAGGGGGAGGAGGATGAGGGGAGGAGGAGGATGAGGAGGAGGAGGAGGAGAGAGGAGGAGAAGGAGGGAAGGAGGAGGAGGAGGGGAGGTGACGGGCAAGGAGGGGGTGGAGGGCGGGGCGCAGTGACGGGGGGGGGGAGGGGGGGTCGGAAGAGGGGAGGAAGGGGGGGGGGTGGGGGGGTCTGGAGGAGTCGGGGGCAAGCGGAGCAGCAGGGAGGATGGGCAACGATGGGGGGAGCAAAATGGGAGGGGGGAGAAGGGGGCAAGGAAGGAGGAGGAGGGGGCAAGAGGAGGTGGAGGAGACGGGGCAAGGAGGAGGAGGAAGGAGAGGAGGCAGGAGGAGGATGGAGGGAGGAGGAGGAGGAGGAGGGGAGGAGGACGAGAGGGAGGAGGAGGAGGAGGATATGTTGAGGATTGGATGGGGGTGACGCGCGTGCACGGAGTCGGGCGCGTGGATCGACGACGCGCCCGGGGCGTTCAGGGGCGGGCCGATTCCTTCACTTTGCATGCGGGGGCGGGCCGATTCTTCGCCAGATTGAGCGGGCGGTGTTGGCCTCGGGTTCGGGGGGGCGGTGCTGTCCCCGATCCGTGGATCCTGCATTTGTGTGCTATTAGAGGCTTGGCATCGATCGGACGTGTGCATTGTCTGTCGACGAGGACCATCGGGGAGCATCCTGGATCCTTGAGCCAAAAAGGAACACGCCAGTAAGAAAACAAACGCTGAGCCAACATAATATAATACACGGGGAATGGACGTCTGGCAGGGAGGTGCCCTTGGCCACAGGTGCCCCCAGGATGTCCACGGAGGCCCCCGCGGCCTCCGGAGCACCCCTCAGGAGGCCCCCCAGGGGCCCAGGGGGGCCCCAAGATGGCGCGCAAAGCCGGGGGCACCGTGGGGCCAAGGGCGGCTTCGGGCAATCCCCGACGCACCCACGCCCCAGCCCCACGGATCCGCAGTCCATGTCGGCGTTCGCGCGAGGGGGGGAAGGCGGCGCGCACGGGGAGGCGGCGGGGGGCGGGGCGGCCTTCGGAGAAGGCGGGCGGGGGAGGGGGTCAAGCAAGGCGGGCGGCTGCTTCGAAGTCCTGCCCGCTCCCGAGGGGCCTTCCTGGGCCAGGGTCGAGGCGTCCCGAGAAGGAGGGGCGCCCTCCGAGAGGGCCTCGCGGAAGACCGGGGGGGGCGGTGTCCGCCGCTTGCGAGCGTCGGGGCGGTGCCTCCCGCCCGGGTCCGCGTGGCGAGGGTCGGGCCGGGCGAAAGTGGGGGCTGGGGAAAGGGGAGTTTACGGTAGGTTCGCGTCGTGTCGACCGGCGGCGACCCCGCCGCCGACGTTCAACGTTGAACGCCGGGGGGGACCCAGAATCGTTCGATGTGGAGCGATGGGGACGTTTCGGAAACGGCCGATCGTTCAAGGTTGAACGATCCCCGCGGTGTCAGGAACCAACGCCGGGGTCGACACGACACGAACCTGCCGTACGAAATCTGCTGCATGCAGCTGGTTTCGGCCCCACCGAGGGGCCCATTTCACGAGACACGGCCGCCTCCCGGCGCCGGGAGGCGCCGGGAAAATCAGCTCTGTGAGCGGATTCTCCCCCCCCCCCTTTGCTATCCCCCCCTTTCGCCCGGCCCGAGAGGGGTCTGGAGGCCAGGGGGTGCCCTCGCAGCTCGTCCTCGATGCATCCAGGCGTTTCCGAGCATGCCCCTGCCCTGTGAGCCCTCGCCTGCTGGAAGGGCCGCTCTCTCCGCGCCACCCCCTGGTGCGCGCCGCCCAGGCGGTTGTCGTCTCTCGGGCCCGGTCGTGGCCCAGTCGCACGCGCGTGAACGCGCGCACCCTCAGGAGCACTTCGTGCCCATCACGAACTTGCCCGACGTTCGGGGGGAGCAGTCTCATCTGCCCTCCTGTTGTTGCCGAGGCTCTCTCATCGTCGACGGGCCACAAGCTGCATAAGCATGAAGTGTCGGCGCTGGACCCTCTGGCGGCGCCTCTGACGCCATACTGCGAAGGCCTTACGACCTGTGCCGCCGACCCTGAAGAGGGACGACGACGACGACGACGACGACGGCGGCGGTAGCGGCGGCGGCGCGACGACGACGACGTTGACGTTGGCCCGAGTCCCAGGGATGCTTCCATGGGGTCCTCTTCGGAAGGCTTCCGGGGCCCTCCGTGTAGGAATTCTGGGGCCTCTTGAGAGCCTCGTGCGTGTGTGTGGGGTGGGGGGGGCGTCCTGGGGGCCTCTTGCGGGACTTTGGGGGGCCGTGGCGGCGCCTCTGGCGCAACATGTTGCGCGTGTTGCGCGCCAGGGGTACGGGTGAGGGCAGCGCCGGCCCAAGAGAGCCGCCTGGACCTCCGATAATTGTTTTGTTGTTTGGAGGGTATGTGTTGATTTGGTCTTACCTTTCCCTCCGTCAGTCTCGTGCTCCTACGTATCCTCCTGCCCTTGTTCGCCCTCTCTCTCCGTTCCTCCTCGGTGCTGCTCTCCCTCGCTTCCCGCCTCCCTTTTCTTACCATGCTCCGTGCCCCTCTCTTTCTTTATCCCCCCTCCCTCCCCCCTCTCACTGTTTCCGTCCGCGTTCTCAGTCTCGCTATATCCCCTCCTTCTTCCCCCCTTGTTTCCTCTACACGGTATGCATGTACTTGTGTATACATATAACGGCGCACCGGGTCCGGGGGCCCGGGGCCGGGACCTCGACCACAAATGTGGGCCCCGGGGGGCCCGGAGGCTCGTCGGACCGCCGGACGCCGTCCAAGATCGTTCGCAGGCGGCTTCGGAACGCGCTCCGATGGCTCCAGATGCCTTCCAAGACGCCTGTCATGACACCAAGAAGGTCCCAGAAGCCTCCAAGACGCTCCGAGAGGCAGCCCAAGAGAGGCCCAAGAAGCAAAAATCGTGCCATTCCTATGGGAAAACGTATATGTTTCGCATGTTCGCTTCTTGGGCTTTCACCGCGTCCAAGACGGCCCAAGAGGCGCCCAAGACCGCCCCAAGACGGCCCAAGAAGCTTCCAAGAGGGCCCCAGGACAGCCCAAGAGGGCCCCAAGACGGCCCAAGAGGCGCCCAAGATGGCCCAAGAGGGCCCCAAGACGGGCCCAAGAGGGGGCCCAGAGGGGGACCACGAACCGCAAGCTCGAGCCTTCCGCCCCAAGAGGCCGCCAGGAGGCCCCAAGGAGGCCCCTCAAGAGGCCCCAGGAGACCCCCAAGAGGCCCAAAGGAGGCCCCGAGAAGCCCCAAATCGGCCCCCAAAATGCTTCGAACCTGCTTCCAGGAGGCCCCCGACAGGTTCAGAGGCTCCCGAGAAGCTACGTCAAACTCCCAGCGAGCGGCCGGACGAGGCCCCCCACAAAATCACAAGAGGGTTCCAGTATTTGTATCCTTCAGCGCTCTCTGGCCTTCTTCCCCCTGCCCCCTTCCCTGCGACTTTTGTTGACTCAAGCTCGCCTCCTAGCTAGAACCTAAGCGCGCGCGAAGCGCGCGCGTGGTTCTAGTGTATATATATACACATAACTATGGGTTTGTGCATGTGTATATATGTAGCGTTATCCCTGTATACCTAGATTCATGTATGTATGCACATGTACATGAGCATATACAGATATTTACACACATGGATAGCATGGAATGCATGAGTTCGCAGATTCCCCTGTTTGACGTGTTGTTTCGAGTCCGCAAGCTATGCATATATATATATATATATACATATGTATATGTGGGTATATATGCGTTTGCAATTTAGGTACATGATAACACACAGTATACATGTTATAGAAGTTTACGCACCTGCAGTTCTACGCACATGTATACAAACACATGTTCTTGCACATCTTCTTGTAATACAGATGCACATTCGTGAAATTGGAGGCGCATTTCTCCGTAATATTGTTGCACTTGTGCTGCCACTACAAGTTCGCTTGCCAATGGAACATGGGCTCGCGGGTCATAGCTCCCGTTTGCAAGGATCTGTATATGGTTCCTATCCCCGACAAGTGTACAATCGACTTCAGTGAACGACTGTTCACCCTGGCTCACCATAAATATGCATCGATGATCAACATGCACCCCAGCGAGGTAACTTTGATCATGGCTACGTTTCAACAAGAGTTGGACTAACCCGATGCTCCACAGATCTACGGTTCGCTGGTCACACTACCGCTTCAGTGCTCGCAATGCCTTCGAATGGTGTTGAGGAGGGACATTCATTCATTTGGCAACAGGCTCGTCTTTGCCCTTGGATCGGGTGCTCATCCCCTAAGATGATACAGTACGATCAGCAGGAAGCAGTGTCGTCAGAAGCTGGCTTCCAAGGGGGAGTACAGACTATCGTAACCGAGATGCTTCCGATCGCAGTACGTGGCACGTTCCGCATTGCCGCCATTTGCCCAATGTTCGTGGATCCTACCGACGTCGCTGCATCCGCAGACAAAGCTTTACATAACATCATAGTGAACGAAGTCAAGGAGCACAGTTCCCGCATTGATGGTTCGATGTTCCTGATCGTCCTTATGCCGTCAGCCGACATTGGCCACCAGAAGCACAGAGCCACGGTATATCGTTCTTCCGTCATTCCGCATGAATCAGTGGGCTCTTCCTTGGGCGTCTTCAATTTCCGTATGTTTCCTAACCACTTGTCCGTTCAGTGTCAAGCAGAATGGGCGAATCGTTCAAGGTACTCGTTGATGGCCTTGAATACCTATTCAGCAACGACTGACGCCGCAAGTCTTGCGGAAGAGTACGACATCCACTTCTCCTACATCAAGGACAGTTTGCAGTTGAGCATGCTTCAGTAATCCAGTTGACGTGACCCCGATGGATATCCTTGAGTCCAGCAAGGTTGACGCAGTAGCGTGTATTCCGCAGTGACATCTATGTTTGCATCAAGTTTATGCGTGCATCAGACGACCGACTTGAGTTTCCAATATATATAGAGAGAGAGAGGGAGATAAAGAGAGAGAGAGAGGCATATATATATATATATATACATAGAGAGAGAGAGAGAGAGAGAGAGAGAAAACGGGTGCCTCGATCGGCCCTCCTGAAAGTTAGCCTGGCGAAGACACCAACCGCATGCAGTTGTGAGTGCCGCCGCTGTGGCTATGGTCTTCCGCGGAGCTCCTCTTGGGCCACGAGGTCGCTATGCTGGGCGGGGGAACCGCACGCGGACTGCGACGCTGGGACCTCCGGCGGAGCCCCCTTCTTGGGGCCACGAAGCGCTGCGCCGGGCGCACCGGGGCCGCGTGGGGACGGCGCCTGTTCTGTGGAGCTCCCTCTGGACCTCCCGGGCCATGAAGCGCTGTGCTGGGCGCAGGGAGAGCGTGCGGACCGCGCCATTGGGACCTTCGGTGGAGCACCCTTTGGGACCGCGAAGCGCTGCGCTGGGTAGGGGAACCGCGTGCCGACTGTTCCAGTGGGACCTTCGGTGGAGCTCCGTATGGGGCCACGAAGCGCTGCGTTGGGCCGGGGAGACGCATGCGAACTGCGGAGGAGGGGCGAATGGAAGGAGTAAGGAGGAGCGAGTGAGGAACGCGGGGCGCCGTCTCTTCAAAACGAGGACCCAAGTTTGGGAAGAGCGGCGACGGGCGGGTTTCGGCAGTTGTCGGCCTGCCAGAACCACGACCGCGGACGAGACCATGGTCCAGAGCAAGTTGCCCAGACTGCTGGGGGGGGTAAAACAGGGCCAGGATCGGGATAAATCGCTCCAGAGCGTTCCGGAGCGCTCTCAGAGCGTTCCGGAACGCTCTGGAGCGGCCGCGGCGCCCAATACATCCTCCAAACCCGCCGATTCTCAGAGATTTCGAGTTATCCCGATCCGATTTTGTCCCGATCTTCGCGTCGTTTTAGGGGTGTCGCGCTGTGTGGAACGACCAAACACGACCAATGCTTGTTGGGGGCCTGGCGGCCCTCTCGTTTGCAGCCGCCCCCTGTTCGGTCCAGCGGGCGAGGAGGAGGAGAGGAGGAGGAGGAGGAGGAGGAGGAGGAGAGGAGGAGGAGGGAGGAGGAGGAGAGGGAGGAGGAGGGGAGGGGGGAGGGGGAGGAGGGAAGGAGGAGGAGAAGGAGCAGGAGGAGGAGGAGGAGGAGGAGGAGGAGGAGGAGGAGGAGGAGGAGGAGGAGCCTGGCGGCCCTCTCGTTTGCAGCCGCCCCTGTGTCGGTCCCGCGGGCGGGGGCGCGAAGCGGACCTCCTGCACCAGGCGTTTCCCCTTTTTGCTCTTTCGGATGGACGGCTGCGCCCGAAGCTCGGGATGCCATTCCTGGGACCCAGACCCCCTCCAGTCGTGAAAAAATCACGACGGCAGGTTTTTCGCTATTGTCGGCCTCCAGGGGCCCTCACCGGGCCTCGGGAGCGTCAAAAAACGACTCGGGATGAAAAACCGGTCCCGGGGAATGGGTCTGGACCTCTGGGGGTCGCGTCATGAAAAAATCATGACGTCCGGGGTCTGGGGAGATGTCACTCGGAATCCGCGCTGGTATGCCCCTGTTGGAAAGTGGCCCAATCTGGCCGATTTCCGCTCGATCTGGTTCAATCCTGTCCACTCCCGTTCGACCTTGGGTTCATTGCAGCCTCATTTGGCTCAATGGCCCCACGGGATGGGGCCTCAAAGCGCGTAATCGTTCTGGCGAAGACGTCCCAGGAGTTGCCTCCCAACTAGTTCCTCTCACTCTTTGCCGGGCCATGTCTGCGCGCCACGGTTCGCTCCTTTGCCGGCTTTGAATGCATTTTCATTGTTCGCCCTCGCGACAGGGTCCACCTCGATCCGACCATCACGATCCGATATCGGTTTTGGCCACCCGGCCAGGCCCGATTCGATTCCGAGATTCCGACGACCAGATGTTGCCCGATGTGTGCAGGACAGTGTTGTGCACGTTGATGGGGCCGATCCGGATCGATGTCGACTCCGTGCCGATGCAGAGCAGTCCGACGCCTTCGATCCGATTCGATCCGGTTTCCCGATCCAGCAGTGGAGAAGCGTCCTAGCTCGCGTACAATCCTACCGAAGAATGTTTCAAGAACCTTTCGTGGTTTGCACGACATGTTCTTAGAACATGTCTTGCGCCGGGACTGTCCTGCGCTTTCACACACCGGCCTTCGGTTCTGAGAGCATTGTTTTTTTTTGTTCCTGCAGCATTCCGAAGCATCATTCGTGGCAGGCCTACAGGAATGCCAGGACGGTCGGTCCCTGCTCAACCCCTGACCCTTCGGGCCGGGCGAAAGGGGGGGATAGGGAAAGGGGGGGTTACGAAATTTGCTGCATGCAGCTGGTTTCGGCCCCACCGAGGGGCCCATTCCTCGATACACAGTCGCCTCCGGCGCCGGGAGGCGCCGGGAAAATCAGCTACGTGAGCTGATTCTCAAACCCCCCCTTTGCTGTCTCCCCCTTTCGCCCGACCCGAACCCTGCTCAACCCCTGCCCCGCCTCCCCTCCCGCGGGGCGGCGGGAGGCCATACACTTCGTGGTGATCGTCATCCTGAGCGTGTCGTCTGGGCCGTTCTACGGGCTGCAGGCCCGGCGCGCCCCGGCGCGGGGGCCAGCGAGCGGCGGCGCGGGAGGAGGGCCCCCCCCCCTTCCCTTTCCCCCTCCTCCTCCTCCTCCTCCTCCTCCTCCTCCTCCATCTCCTCCTTCTCCTCCTCCTCCTCCTCCTCCTCCTCCTCCCCCCTCCTCCCCCCCCCCTCCTCCTCCTCCCCCTCCCCCTCCCCTCTCCCCTCCTCTTCCCTTCCTCCTCCTTCTCCTCCTCCTCCTCCTCCTCCTCCTCCTCCCCCTCTCCCCCTCCTCCTCCTCCTCCTCCTCCTCCTCCTCCTCCTCCTTTTCTCCTCCCCTCCTCCTTTAGGCAGGCGATGACATGGAGGGTGAGGAGGAGGAGGTGGACAGCTGGGTGGAGTTGGTGGTGAAGGAGGAGGGAGATTTCGTTTCATAGCCAGCGCGTGCTGACGATAGGTCGCTCGCGTACTGCTGCCGTGTGCGGCTCCAGACGAGGAGGGCCCCACAGGCGAAGTTAGTCTCAGTGCCAAGTGTTTTCGCTTTCTAATATTGCTGCGCGAAGATGGAGGAGGAAGGGGAAGAGGAGGTGAGAAGGAGGAGGGCCACAAGGAAGGGTTTGGAAGGATGCGCTCGAAGAAGGCAATCAGGTTTGCCCCTTTGCAAGCCATGGGGCACGCCTGATAACCCCCCTCTGCTTTTCAGAAGGCCGACCCCTCGTACCACCTTCTTTCCAGGATGCCTCCGTGACCATTTTGGCTCAAGCGGTGCTGGCTCTGGCTCCAGGGACAGCCCCCACGCCAGCTCCTTCCCTCATCACCTTGAGAGCGCAAGCGCGACGCTCGGCGCCTCCACTTCTCCTCCCTCGGATGCCGGGGCGATGACGTTCTCTCCCGAGTCTCCTGGCGTGGAGGAGGCACCTTCTCAGCCGCCGGCCTCCGCCGAGGCGCCCCCGGGGCCGTGGCGATGGCACACCGCCTCCGTCACCGCCTCCGATGACGATGGGACCGCGGACACCGCCTCCGAGTCGGGACCATCGACTGCCGCCACCTCGGTGAGAGGCAGCCGCGAGTCGGTGATGGCGAAGGCAAAAAGCTACACGAAGGACTGGTTTGCCACGGGCCGCAACCACTCCCTCCAGCAGATCTCCGGCGAGGATCTCCGCAAGATCTGGTGGTTCAGTGTCCGCGCGATGCGGCCCGCGCCGAGTTCAAGAGGAGGCAGCTGGAGCTGTCCGAGAGGATGCTCAAAGAGCGGCGGAGTGGGTGTGCGAGCGCGCTCTTGTCGACGTACGCCACCCGCTATCAGTGGGCGCTCTTCGTCGTTGTTCATATCGTTATCACCTTCTTGATTTGCTCCCATTTTTTCCTGAAGAGGTTCAGGGAGCAAGAGGGACTCCCCGAGCTCATCCCCGCGAAGGACGCCCTCGCTCCGGAGGATGTTGGCATGCCAATGCCCAACTACTGGAAGAAGCGTCTGGTTCCGCCGCTGTTGTTTGGCCTCAAGCACGCCATCCTGTGGCAGATGGTGTGGCTGCCTGTTACGATGAGCCGCCACCTTCTTGCCCTAGCTGCTCGAACGAAGATTCGAAACTTCGTCCCTCTGGAGCACATGACGTTCTTCCACATTACCCTGGGATACATCACGTGCTTCTTCATCATCGTTGCTACCATCGTGCTCTTCGTCTTCTTCGTGCACGGCTGCCGACAGCACCTCGGGCAGTTCGGCCACCCTCTCGAGCCCGTCGACTTCTGCGAGAAGATGCAACGCGAGATCATGATCACAGGACTAGGCATCTTCGTCCTCCTGGTGATCGTGATGGTAAGCTCCTTCCTGCGGCGCCACATTCCGTTCGAGTGGTTCTACGTGCTGCACCATTTCGTGCTCGTCCTGTTCGGCCTAACCATTGCGCACACCCTGGACGACCAGTTCTGGGGCGGCACTCGCGTCGGCAAGAGTCGGTCGCAGAGCTTCCGATTCATCGCCACGACGCTCAGCCTATATTTATTGGACAGGGCTTGGAGCTTCCTGACCATGCGGCGCGACGTGCCCGTGCAGGAAGCCGCGGTCACTTCCACGAAGAGCATGCTCACGCTGGTGTGCAAGAAGCCGGTCGACTTCCAGTTCGCTCTTGGCCAGTACGCGTACATCCAGATACCTTCTTTGGACATTACGTTCCACCCGTTCTCCATCGGCTCTGCGCCGGAAGAAGCTGTGCTCAGGTTCTACATCGTGGTGTACAAGGGCCAGTGGACCGAGAAGTTGGCCGACGCCATCGAAGAGAGGACGGTCAGCGGAGTGAACATCATGGGCCCGTTTGGTCCAGGGCTTGATACAAATAACTTCGTGAGCGTCAGCGCAGTGGGCACGGGGACGGGCATCGTGCCCATGATGTCGTTGATGAGGGAGCGCTATCGCAGGCTGACGCTCATGAACAAGGAGCTGCTGCAAGGGATTCAAGAAGACCCCGAGAAAGTGGTTCGGCTGGAGCACATGGCGCTCCACGAGGCCGTCGACAACACGAGACTCATCATGCTGCAGTACCACTGGAAGCTGCGCTGCATGCGGGTGAGAGGCACGCAGACTTCGATGGTCATGTCTAAGGCCACGAATCGTGCGTACTACCACTACATGTTCGACATCATCGCGCACGTCGTCCTGCTTCTGGACATGTTCCAGGGCTTCTGGACGTTCTCTTGGAAGTACCTGAACGAAATGGAGTTCAATGCCAAGTTCCAAAAGGTCGATGCAGTCCAGTGGAAGGCATTGGAGGTCATGAGCCTCGTCTGCATCTTGTTCTTCTTGGTGCACCGGGCTTACGTCTGGGCGAATCCTCGCGTCTTCCGGCGGTCCTTCGCGGACCTGCTGGATGTGGTGGCAGTGGCGTTTATGCTCGGCACCCACTTCGCATGGGCGGGCGAGGTTCCGTCCTTCTACATCGCCCCCTCTTCCATGGCCGTGCTCTTCCGCGGCTCGTTCGCGCTATGGCGCATCGCGCGCATCTACGCCGCGAGTCAGGTCCTGCGCATGGGCGACGCCAGCTCTAAGGGGGTCGAGCACGACCTCGTCAAGAACGGGAAGTTCCGCGTGCTCTGGATCGTGCGGGGAGGAGACGGCTTCGCGGCCCATTGCTTGGAGCTCGAGGACATGATGACGGACTTGCTCAAGAAGTTCAGCCGCTGGCAGCTGGATCTCCTCTTCGGCCTCGACATCTACCTCACGGGCGTGACCCCAGCCGAGGAGCGGAGGCTCCGGGAGCTCATCCAAGGATCGGCTATCGAGAGTTGCGCGCGCTTCGAGCGCCCCGACGTTGTCGAGTGGGTGGTCCAGAGGATGTCGGACGTGCTCAGGGACACTCTGCACGACAGGTGCGCCACCACGGGCGGCTCCATGATCGCCTTCTGTGGGAGTCATGCGGTGGGCTTGCAGGTAAGCCGAGGAGTGCAGGAGGCGAATATGCACGCTGTCGTGCTGCGGATGGCTGGCTGCCGCATGGCGTTCCATGAGGAGTACTACGGCGTCGTATGAGGCAAGCCGAAGGCGCTGGTGCGAAGGAGGCTTGGTGGACAGCGCAGCAGCCTTTGAGGATCGGACAAGAGAACCAGTGGGTTCTCCTGGAAAAGAGAGAGAGAGAGAGAGGAATTCTTGGAATCGAGCACGAAACGCACTTCTCCCCTCTCGTCTCTTTCCTCCCGCCCTTGCTTCCCTGAGGCGGAACGCCCGCTAGCCCCTGCTGGGGTTGGCCTGCTTTCTGCCTCCTCTGCCTGTCTCGTCCTCGTTCAACCCCCGAATTCAGCCACGCGGAGCTCCAAATCTGGACCGCGGAGGGCTAGTAGTCGGCGAAGTGGGAAGTGCCTGTGATGCTGTTTCTCGTTATCTTCGATTTCCCGCCCAAGAGTGTGCACGCAGTAGCTGATAAGATTTCGGCCACGCTCGCAGGACACAGGTTCTGCTGGGAACCGTGTTTTTCCTTCCCATGAGCTCGATTCCAGGTGGCGCTGGCGCTGTAGGGTAGTCCGCAGCTTTTTCTGATGGGGGACTCCTGCCGCGAACCTTCTTAGCGATTTTCCTTTGCGGACGCAGCCTTGGGCACTGTCATTTGTATCGGGAGCTCAGCTTACATAGCCATCGCTCTTCCGAGGGTCGCGAGCGTCCAGAGCGCTCCACGTCTGAATGATTGCGCCGCCGACAGGCTGCAATTTGTTTGCGTTGCCTTCGTCCTCGTTTTTTCCTCCCGTTCACTCGACAAGACGCGGCTAATCTCCTTGCTGCTGGTGGTGACTCCGTGGACTTGCACTTTGAAGACCTTTGAATTGTTTTGTCCGAGGGAAAAAACCTTTCATTCCAGGATGCCACACCTAAATTCAGTTTGGTCGCTTTTATATCCGTGGTCGAAAGCCAATATAATCCGGCATAATCCTGCGTCGTTTCGCTTGATCCCGTTTTATCCGTCTTAGACTTGGGGCTTGTCTGGGTTAAGGCGGATTAGTTGCTATTTGGACGTTGCCTCCGAACCGCTTTATGTGCCGCCGCCAATCCAGGCCTCCCAAATGGGGACCGGGACCGAGTAGAGGGCGACGAAGGATCGCGCCGGCGTCGGTGATGCATCGGCGATACGGCGCGATTCTCCGACCCCATTTGCTTGGACCCCATTCGGGAGGCATTTGGACAAACACGAAGCGGGGTGCGTCCATTCGCGCCAACGCCGGGGCGCCCTCTCCTCTTTGCGCGGTGTGCCGCGCCTGCGACGATAGGGGCGAATAGCTCGGGGGCGGCCAAGAGGTGGGTGAGAGCTAGGGGGGGGTGGATATCATGGCGGGGGCCATGAATCTCCCCAGATTTCATGGCGCCTCTTCTTGTTTCATTACGCCCCTGTCCCCCCCCCCTGGGCCGCGCACATGCCGCCGGCCATGATTTGCGCCTCCCCCTCTTGGACGCCCCCCTCCTGGCCGCCCCCGAATAGCCCAGGGAGGGGGCAGCCGGGCATCCAGAGTCGAACGTGGTTCATGCCTTCGGCGAGGCTCCCAGACGAGCGCGGGCGAC